ATGCATCAAGACATTTATAGGAATTATTTCAGTGTATAAGCACAATGCTGCTAATCTAGCAGTTTTGTTTTAGAGTTTAGATTTAGTTTTAGGGCTGAGGTCAAAATACCTGTCAGTTCAGGATGATGGATAGATTAGATTTTTAGGGTTAAGATTAGAGAATGAATATAGACAATGAAGAGTTACCATTTAGACAGCGAGACAAGTTTGTGTGTGTGCTGCAATGATAAATCGAGTAAACATCTTTTCATTGCATTTGCACACCTAATACAGCAGTGAACTTTCTGCCTATTGTACTGTTGTAATGGTGTGAACAGAGTGATGAGTAGACTGTTAGCTCCGCTGGTGGATCAGCTCTGCATGCTTCATTACCTGTGTGTGTCTGTGTGTGTGGCACTTTGCTGTTTTTGGTTCACTCGCATGTTTTCAGTCCCAGCAGTGGCGAGTAAAGCTGTCTGATATCGGACCAAAGGTGGCTAAGGTAATTGCCATGTCTCTTTTTCTCTAACTAATAGTGTTTGTGCAGTTTTTGCAAGAAGCATGATGGGTGGTCTCCCGGATGTGTGATTAATTACTGGTTAGTCAGAGCACTTCAAATCAGGGTTAGTCATATTTTTTTCATGTATACTTGGTGCAGATTGGTTCAGGGAATAAACAAAGCAGTTTGAACTACGTTAAAATGAGTCATCATCTGCAAATTAGTTTGAATTGGAATTGATGATGGTTTTAATAATGATAGGGAGTTTACATGGGACGTGTTTGTGTGTGTGTGTATGTGTGGGATTGGATTTGTGTCATCTTTTGTCTGTGGCTTCATTCTTTAATCTCTGACACACAGTCACTAATGGAAAGCCCACTTTATAAAGAGCTTTTGTGTCCTGCTTACGCCTGTGTCCTCCGTCTCCTCTCCTCTCACTGCCCCGTCCTATCTTTCTGGCAAACATCCGCTGATGATGACGCAGGCAGAGCAGAGGAGAAAAGGAGGGAGTGTGAGTCTGATATAGGGCAATAGCACAAAATCTAGAGTAGAAAATGCTATTTATTGGTGAATAAAAGTAACAGATCTGAATGCAGGATATTAATCATGTATTGGTTTGCTTTTTGAATGACAAATGGATTACTATCCTAGGTCGAAAAGAAAAATAGACTGAAGATGTGTTTTGTTTTGCTGCTGTACATAGCCCTGCATAGAGTACTTTAGCTGCTTAGCCTGCGTGTTGCTAGAGAAGGGCTCAACATTTGTCTCTTGCAAATGCTATTAGCTCGCAATGAACTAATGAAACTTGCTGTGTAGGCAGCAAAAGTAGACTTCAAAAGTCATACTTAATGTGTTTCTTGCACCCTTTTAATGAAGCACTGGAGCCACAACAATACAAAGACTTGTTGGAGCCAGACACAAAGTCCTCACTTGATTAGTGACCCACTGACCTAAAAGCACGTGGGCAAAGATTGAAAAACAAAGCAGTACAACTGCAGAACACTTGCACACATAGGGATTGTATGGGATGATTATGCATCCCTGTGGAAATGTTTGAACCCATTCATTGGTGAAAAACTCAAGCACACCATTTGGTCAGAGCAGAAGTCCATCTTGAAGAGTGTGACGTTTTTCCTTCTGTGATTTACCATAGATGTGCAAGCGAGTGAGCGAAAGCGAGAAGGCGTCAGAACTGGTGTGTACAAAGGTGTGTGAGCCATCGTTCCTTCCTGCTCAGACTCACCAACTATTCAGGATGCTCGCAGTACCCAGTTGTCATAGTGACAGAGTATAGCAAGAGGAGACCGCTCATTGCGCCACCTGATTGTGCGTGCGAGAGAGAGCAAAAGCGAGGGAGAGAGAAAGAGGAAAGCAGAGACAGAGAGTTGCGCAGGACCAGTGAAGAGAGAAGCTTTTTGCTGTGATAAGTGTTTTCATCAATAGACTTGTTTTTTGGCTGCTGTGTCGTGGGGATTGCAGACATTTTGTCATTTGCACGCTATCACTTTGTCTCGCACACTACTTGGATTCTCTGCTTACTTGCATGCAGACAGACACACACAGCAGCTGCTGTGCTAGAATGGCAAGATGCTGATGCATTGTGGCATGTGTCTCAGGTGTGCATGAGATGGGGATCAGTGTGTGCTGATACCCATGCACACTTTGACTTGATGCCGAGTGCCTCTGACAGGCTACGGGACTCATAGCCGGCCAGGCCAAGGGGCCCTCCATGCCATGGTAAATATCTCTGATTACAAACTGATCTCTAGTTAGCCTCCTGAAGCTAATCTGTGTACCTAATTGAGACTGAAACAAGTAGTGCAATTCCATAAAAGCCTTTTTGCAAGGTAAAGGTGCTTGCCCACTGCCTTGTTTGAGTGAAAGTGTGTGCATTTAGGTGGCTGTTAGTCACAGACAGCAGCAGATTAACAGTGTTTGCTAGTTCATGATTCTGTCGAGCACGTTTGTGCGTAAGTGTTTGTTTCGGCTCTGTAGAGGATGCAGTGTGTTACCTGATTGCAGATCTCACCACCTTGATTAAGCTCAGTTTGGAAGCTCTCCTCCCGGAGACTGCCTGTGCATGTGTCTGCAAGGTTATGTGTGTGTTTATGTGTTTGTGGCTGTATGTGTGCTCTGAATCTGCTCTCTGGTTCTGCTTCTCTTCTCCTCCTGCTGGCTGTGTTCCCGCAGGCAGTGACTCTGCGTAAGCAAGAAGCGCATGTATGCGTGTGCACACCGGAGTGTTTCACTTGCTTTTCTAACTCACGTGTTGGCATGAGATTTGCATCATCGTACTGTTTTGTGAAAGTGAGCAAAACATTAATACGAGTAAGAGGGTAATGGAGTCAGGCAGAAGGGGGAGTCGAATTGGGGGATGTTAGATGAAAGTACACTACATCAAAGGCTGAGTCAAAGTCTGAGCTAATGAATAACCTTGAAAACAACTGTTTAACTAGCTAGTGTTTTCTAAAATTGTATTGTGGATGTGTTGCCGTTCCAGATTTCATGATATTGTGCTGTTGTAATTATTGAAATAGTTTAGGAAGTATGTACAGAGAAGTGCTGACTTGTGATTTGACAGGTTTGAGTCTCCGTTTTCAGCTAATATGACAGTTTTTCACCATTACCTATGCTCTCCATCCCTTTCTGTGGCATTTTCTGTCTCTCTGCTGCAAGTTGTCTCTTGTCCTCTCTCCCCTTGTCGGTTTTTGACTACAGTGAATTGTCAGTAAATTTCTGCTCCCTGCATTCACTAACATTCTTACTCCTAGCTTACTTCCAGGTCCTTTTTCTTTTTACCTGTCTTCAGATTTGCAGCAATCATTTCATCTGTTAAACATCAGATAATAGTCAAAAATGCATATTACAGTGCACTAAAGTGAAAAGTGCAAAACTCTTTTTTACTGAAGTCCTTGAAAAGCAAAAGATTAAATCAAATGTTGCTTTAAATTTTCATTTTTGTTGGGTGATTGAATCAGGTCATGTTTTGCTTAACACAGTTACAAATAGGCTTGGAAGAGAGACCACCGACGCTCTGAAAAATCTGTTCTTACAGCAGTTCTCTTTGTGTTTATATCTTGTCTGTCTGGTGTTTCTGTACTGCAGTGTGAGAGTGCCACTTCTTGCCACGTTTGCCTGTCTGGAATCTTGTCTCTCTGAGACATCTTTGTTTATTTCCGACTGCACAGTGGCAATGCACTGAACTAGCAAACAGAAGAAAGCCCCAAGTATATATATAAAAGAAAATGTGTCATAGATATTGTTACTGCACCAAAACATGGGTGGTGAATAATACTGCTGTCAGCTCAGTTCTTACTGTGCTACTAAGTGCGTTAATGCATGAAAATCCACAGATTCACACCAGCCATTGTCAGTGTCTGTGCAGGAACGAACAAAGCAGTGGATTTTTGCTACCTTTGCACAAACTGTTTTCCCATTTCCCTCGTCTCAAAGCAGTCTCACATACTAACAAACGTTCAGTGGTTTGATTGTGTACTTATGCTAACGTGTTAGTCAAGTTTGCAATCAATAATTCATCACCTGCAGAGTGTTCAGCAGTTAAAAGAACAGCCAGCCGGAGGCACCCTGTGTCCCCCTTTGATGTCTCTATTCCTTGTTGTTCATTATCTGAAAGGAGGACAGTACCTGGTTGAGCCTTCTTCGTGCTGCATGGTCAGTTCTGCCAATATTAATATTTGATCCCTTTCATCATACCATCGCAGCCAGATGTCCATCCAGGAGTAGGACATTGATGTTTATTCTCTCACAGTGTCTGACCTACAATTCCACATGATGTTTTGTTAAAATGGTGGTTTGTCAGCTCTCGCTCATGTGATTGTTTTGAAAAGAATAACAAATGCTTTAAGATGATCTTGTTTGTCTTGCTTGAAGTTACTGTAGTCTTTTTGCACTAGTAATAGTATTTGCTGTGTTCCTATGCACATTTTGTTACACATTAAAGAATTTGTCTTGGGTACTCCTTTTTGAAATACCAGCATTTTCTAAAAAAATATTTAAATAGCCTTGTCCATTTATCTCCCTCTCTTTTTGCTTGCAGCTCAAAAAATCTTTTCTCTTTGCTTCTTGCAGGAAGAATGCAAGCAGATCATGGCACGCCAGAAATCTAACAGCCAGTCAGACTCACATGACGATGAAGTTTCTCCCCCACCACCCAACCCTGTTGTCAAGGCCCGTCGCCGCAGGGGCGGTGTCAGTGCCGAGGTTTACACCGAGGAGGACGCTGTCAGCTATGTGCGCAAGGTCAGCCTTATGACGGATACATACATTAACATCTGATTGCAGAGACAAACATCTAACGCATAAAGAAGCTGTGTGCACTTTTATACAAAGTCATTAACAGGTTTGCACACAGTTGGCAGCAGTTATGTAGGTTTGTATGTAGAATACAACCAGTTTACTTAAATCTGTTTAGTTTTTCTGTTTTCTAAGCAAAACATCACATTAAACTATGATGCTATGATAGAGTAAAAACAAATGAACAATGAATACCGTTCAGTCAGAAGGTTAGGTGGGGTTTATTATTATTTTTTAATACACACTAGTGTAATCAATAACATTGAAGTTGTTTATTTTCATTAATTTAACACCCACCAAGAAATAGAACATTTCACAAGTGTGAAAGAGGCTAAACGGTGCAATTTTACAAACATTAGTGAAGAGACTTGGAGTTAATTTATTTGCAGCAAAATACTCAAGCGTGTGAGTCATCTATGTCAGTACAGATGCTGAGTACCCAGACTTAATAGCACCTTAAGTATATTAACATTCATATGGAAATCTGGGTTAATGTAGAAGGTGGATTTCTGGGACAAGATTTTTATTTTTCATTTTTTTGTGAATGCTAATAAATCTAAAAGTCAAAATCTTCTTCACATGATGGCTGATGGTTTTGGGATCACATTTCACCACTACTGAATTTTTCTCTCTCCACATGGACTGTTCATCTGCGTGCAATCAAAACTTGCTCATGCACGACTGGCTAATATAACTGAGAGTGGAAGTGGGAACCAGAAAGCTTCCAATTTCAAAGGTCTTGTTTGCATATGAATATGCACATATCTTTGTACACAGATTATGCAGAAAATAGACTTGATTCATACTTAGATTTACTTTGTATTACTGGTTAACACAGTGTGGTTAACAGGTAAAGAGGAAGAGAAAGTTCAGTAGTTGTTTTCTCTTTCTGGACAACAAGAGTTCAAGTTATCAGTCTTCTTACAAACTGCCGTGTATCCATTCCTCCATAATTTATTGAAGCTGGAAGAAGGGATGCTCTTGTGCCAGAAACTGTAACTCACCATTACACACAGAGACACACACACACACACACACACACACACACACACACACTCACACACACTTTAAGTGGTGTAACATTACCGTGCTTATTCAGTTGTAATTAACTTGACACGCCAATAATTGCTGGGTAATGACATAACGGCACGAGCCCCCATCACCACACTGTAATCGCATGCCCAATGGAGCATGCAGTGTGTGTGTTTGTGTGTATGTGTATATCAGGTGTGTGCAAACACCCACACATGGCTCTGAGGTCTATACCAGACTCTACAGACATGTGTCATGGCAAAAAGCCTGCCTGCATCTCCAGCCTCGTTTTCTTTACACATCCACATCATGTCAAATCTGCATCAGTAGCATGTACAAAAAAACTAAACAAAAAAAAAAAAGACTTTGTGCCGTTACAACTTAGCCTAACACAACAAATCAACCAGAGAAAAGTGAATTTTTGTGTATTTCTTCTTCTGTATTTCTGGCCATTTATGTGCAGTAAGGTGCCATACACACAACACCAAACACACACAGACTCAAAGCCTGTAATACACGCTTACAAATTCCTACATAAATATTTCTATCAGTATTCCAGTGTAAAAAGTAACAGGTGATTTATTTGACAATGTCAGTTAGAGAACTGTGCTCATCTGATTAAAATTGTTTTTGTGTGATATCATTCTTAACAAATTATAAGGTCTGCCAACTTGGCCTGGAGATTGTGTTATGAGAATTGAATTGCGTGTTTCACCGCTAACATCACAGTGCATGTTGATTTTGTTTAAAAAAAAAAACTGCTCTGAAGGAGGAAGGTGTTTTTGTGTTTGCAGCTGATAATTGTTTGCAGGTGTAAATAACTGAACACCAGAGATCCATCTTTTTCTATCTGCCTTTACCTAAATTGTTTGCTAGGACTGAATGATAATTTCTTTCCATTACATTCGAAATGTTAAGCCAGTTAAGCTTTTGGAGTGCAAATGCATCCAGCCGACTGGTAACAGGCTGTGTGCCGTGACACTGGATGATCTTCTGGGTGACAGAGCTGGAGATGGATCGGAGGCTGACCTAAAATTGGTGTCCACTTCCAACTGCATTTTCCAGGCCTGACCAGCCTGTTTCTCTTTCTGCCCACTAAGTAGCCAGTTCTAGTTCTAAAATTTGGGTACTTTTTAGTTTGTGTGTGATGTGGTTCTGTGCGTATTTGTGTGCATATTGTGAACAGCACAGTGCGGCTGTCTTCATGTGGAGACATCTGTTGCATTAACTTAATTACAGCTTACCCCCTCCTCTCTCCCACGACAAGAGGGATACACACACACACACACACACACATACATATATCACTCCCTCATATTTATATAAGAAAAATTGTCTTTTATGCTCTACAGTTAAATGAGCATTAGGACATCCTAGAAGAGAGCTATAAAGACGGACTTCTCTCCAGCTGCTTTGTTGTGGCTCCAGACTTTACCATTCCATTTTTTTGCGAACACACACACCACAGAATCTGGGACATGAAAATGCATGTTTTATGAATGAGTTCAGGGCTTTGGTGAATTTTTAAGGCCCATGTGACATTTTGAGTGCAATCCTTGAACAGATGGGCTTCCCCAAAAATACACAGATGCACGTGTGGGATATTCCTTTCAGAGTTTGCCAGCACTCTGGTCTTTAATTACTTAATTTACTGAGCTTTTGAAGTGGGTTCTGCTTTTTGTTTGTGCTGGTTTGTTTCATGTGTCCACCTGCATGGTGTTGTTATAGCACGCATTCATGTGCTGCCTCTTTCTTTTGCCTTCACAGGTGATTCCAAAAGACTACAAGACCATGACTGCCTTGGCCAAGGCCATCTCCAAGAATGTCCTCTTTGCTCACCTGGATGACAATGAGAGAAGGTACAAAATCTTTCCGTTTACCTAACATGTGATTCCAGCGACCCAGATGTGTGTTTAAGGTTTGAATGCTTGTTTTTAGGCTGATAAAATCATAAAGAGGCCATTGTTTCAGTCGGGTCTCATGCCCTTGTGGCCACTATGTGCCAGTGTTGTCAGCATCTCATTACCTAAACAGCGGAACATGGACAGATGTGGAAGAGAAAGGGGTGCTGTTATGGGTGGGTAAGGGGCAACTGGATGTGTTTCATTGTGTTGTCGGTTGCCATGGTAAGCGATGTGAGTATCCGTATCATGTTGCGTATATGGGTGGAGTTGCACAGACACAGTGCTCAGTAATCAACAATTCTCCATAGTTGTCTTAAAGAAAAAGAAAGATGCCAGTTTTCTTCTGTCTCCCCCCATTTTATTTTTTTACCATCTGCTCCTACTCAGTGTTATTTCACATTCCCCCTCTCTTCAGACGCCCTTTCACCATCCTTCCATCTGTCCCATATCTGCAGTTCATGGGCTGGGTTTGGCTCAGACAGGGGACGGGGTGTTGTGGGAAAGGGTTTCAGGTGGCCGGCGGGCAGACTCGCCAGGAGGAATAGTGTTTCATTGGCGGGGAGAATCCATTATGTCCCATGAAGAGGAAACACCGAAGCTTTCCTGTTGGCTACAGAGAGCACAGGCCAAACCCAAAACACAGTTTTTCCACTCTTTCGTCAGCTGACAATTTACCGTGCTGCCTTGGCACAGGCACACAGACCTCTGATTGCACGTCAGTGACTCTGAAGGAGCCTCTAGGCGGGCGCAACATGTGATGGAAGTGGACAGTTGGAAAAACTATGCCCATGGGTGGCTGATGTGGCAGATTAAAGTTACAACAGAAAAGAAATATCTGGCAGCAGATCATACCCATCAGGTTTTAATATACTCTTTCCATGCAAAGCAATGTAATGGCATTGTCATCAGCCCATGAAACCATGCATGATGCAGAATTTATTTGACTGGCTGTCATGTTTGCTGTCTCAATATACACAGCAAGCTTAAACCATTAATGGTGTGCACACAGGAATTTGTTGTTGTGGGATTTGTGGGTGAATAGGCAGCAGTGTCTCGACAAGTGAAAACCTTGTTGGATTTGCTAGATTTTGCAAGGACATGGCAGTTAGCTGATTTTGTCTGCCCCTAACTTTCTATCCCAGTTGCTTTTACACTGTCCATTCCTCAATTCTGCTCTTCCTCACTCTTCACTTACAGCTAATGATGCTGGACCACTGGCTGGTGGCTTGGTCGCATTGCAGTTGCATTGCGGTTGTTGTGCCTGGAGTGCCGCTGACAGAAATGTGTTGATCTATGCCCAATGTGGTCTTGCAGCATTAATGAAACGCTGTGCAAAGCAAGCAGAAGGCCTGCACACATGACTTGGTCACTTTAGAGTACACTACAAGTTCTCATTGGTAAGGTTTGCCATAAAATCCTCAGTCATCTACCAGACGACTGTACATTCCTTTACAAACAGGCATCAAAGCATAAAATCAAGTTAAACTGAACTTCAGAGTGAAGAATACTTTTTGCTTGTTTGTGCCTTCTGTTGTTGGCATTGATGGAGTGACAGTAAAGTACATCACCCTCGCTTGATGTGCCAGAACTGCCTTGGACTGACGCAGATTAGCAGATGGAGTCCGACTACATCGCCCCCTCTCTGCCTCTCACTCTGTCTTTCTAGCTCTCCTTTCGTTCTGCAAACAGCTGTCCATTTGATTTATCAGACATTGAGCCATTCATGCACATATGGTCTAATGGGGTAGGAAAACTGGGGAAATATACAAATGCTGAAGTTATGTGTCTGTTTTTGACCTGATGGCGTATTTCTCATCATCACGATGTATCAGGTCGTGTAATATTACAGCGAGGGCTATGCATGTGAAATGTTTTTTCTTGATCTTAAGTGTTTTTTTTTTATTTTATTTTGTGCAATAATTTCCTTGAGACCTCCATGAAATGGAGGTGAGCGTGTGAGCGGCACAGAGTGGAGAGAAAAAAAGAGGTGCTGATAGCAGTGTGTGTGTGTGTGTGTGTGTGTGTGTGTGTGTGTCAAGGAAACAACTTGTGTGATTAGTCACTCAGCAGTTATGTAAGCCGAACACCACACAATTTGTTCCCCCATTAGCACTATATTATGCTATCATCCCCTTCAGTAATGAGTAAAACCAAAAACAATGAAGCCCTCTTTGTTTTTCGCTGCTCTCTCCAGTGCTCTCTTTTTCCCTCTCATCGCTTTTTTTGTGGCCAATTTTCCCCTTGTTGTCTTGTCCTCCTTCATCCTGTCTCTCATCCATTATCTGTCTCATATAACTTTCTAGAAATTCAGTGAGACTGTGCTGAGCCCTGTGAGCACGTCACTTTTAATAAGCTTAGTAACAGACACTTGTAGACAGGGCTGTTTTATGCCTTATACTTTTTATTCCCTTGTTTCCTTTTAAAATGATTGTCTCTATAGCAGTTAAGCACACATATGGTGCTTTAAAAAAAGTCTTTTCCATTTCATTTTACAGACTGTAGCCAGAAACAGTGAAAAATATGTTTTGTGTATGCTGTATGCATTAAAACATTAGACATTTCTGTTTAGTTAATGATCATATATCATGCCACTTTCTGACTTTTCTCAGATTATATATATATTACTGAATAGACTAAAAACTTATGTCTGCATATGCACACCGATTAAGATAAAGGTTATCTGATTGTATTAGATTTATAAGCATCATGCGTTTTCATTTTTTTTTCCTCCACCAGTGAAGCTAGTCTATTTGTTTATTGCTGGGGCTGAGATGGGTCTGTATAATTACAGGAATGAGCCAGACAGGAGGACAATAATGCAGGAGGGCATCTTGGGACAAGAAAAATATTACTTAAACTGAAACGGAGCCAGGTTGTGGTCAGCATTCTGGTTATATTTTTGTAAATGTCTGCTTCCTCAGCTTTCATTCCAAGCTTTTTAAAGATGTCACGGTAATGCGTGTTTGTGTGTCTGCTGTTCAGGGGTATTCACGAAGAATGGCAAGAGAAAAGATATTTGTCTTGTCTCTTTTCAGCTTGTCTGGCAGAAGGACCAATGAGACATCCATCCATAATTCAAACAAATTTCTTCTCCTCCTACAGAATTTAATCAAACTTGCACAAAGTGATTACCTAATGGGTGCTTAGTCAAAGCTGTGCTCAAAGTTAAGATCACATTTGTTGTTTTCCAGGCAATAACCTGTGAATTATGACAGATGTCATGAGCCAGATGAGCTACTACGTCACTGACATTCTGGTTTTAAAATTGCCGAAGTGCAGAGCTCCCCGACCACATGTAAAGGGAGAAAAGGAAATACTGGAGCATTAAAGGGGAAGAGACATGTCATTGGCTCTATTTGACTTACTGCTCTACAATCATGAGATAGCTTTTTTGGGGGGACTTTGCATGATTCACAGTGCATAATAATCCTTATTTTTACTGTACAGAGTCTTGATCCTCCTCTGTCTGAAACAACCTGTTGTAGCTCCTAAATGCCATACTCCCATTCTTCTGATTGGCTGCCACTCTCAAACCAAAGATTTGAACAGTATGTGCACAAGACTGCTGTCTTCATGGAGCTGACCATATTAAAGATATTCCCCTCTTTGACAGCGTAAAGAAAATCATTATTATCACCATTTAAAAAAGTAGTCAGAAACTAAAGGTTTAGAGGGAAGTTTGAGCTTCTGGCTTAAAGGGAATTAGTTATACATTGTTTGACCTCATTATTTGAAACTTTAGCCATGTTTAATATGATCATCTAACTGTATAATACAGTAGATCCACTTTAAACCAAAACAACTGAATTTAGTATGAATACGTTATTTTAGATTAAATATGTGTAATTCTTTAAATAAACTACACAGAAAGTTGGAAAATGGTACCAGGGTTAGGCAAAGACACACACACGTGCATAACCCGGCTCACAAACTCCACCATCACTGCAAAAATTGACAGGCTTTACATCATTATGAGAAACATACACAGACACATGGACATTCACACACACGTGTTACAAGTGCATTCTCCAGCATGCATGTGAGAATGTTTTTCCAGTGTGTCTGCTCCAGCTGGGAGCATGGACTCTTTGATTAACACACCATTCCATATGTCAGCCTTCATGACCTCAAAGTTTTTGAGCTGCACCAGCCATGTGTTTGTGCGGTGCATGCAGTCCATCTTTCCTCAGATGCCTGGAAAAGGAGCCATAACAGGTTTTGCGGCCTCACAGATTTCAACACACAAAAACATTTCTGTGTTATTAAATAGGGGATTTAAAGAGAAATACACACTTTTCTTGCATTTTCATCATTGAAATTTTATGTTTATGCTCATCTTCTAAGGGGTCTAAGTTCTGTTTAAAAGTCAGGGAACAGTTTTGAAGATACTTCTGCTTCTTTAAATTTCGCCTTAATAATAGCATGCACTTGAGCTGCCTGGACTCAGAAAACTGCATAACCTGAAAATGTGTGTTGTCACAGCCTGATTTGAGAGTGTTTCAAAGGGCTTATTGTCATGTCAAGGGTGCTTTGCTTTCGCTTTCCTGAAGTGCCCCATGCGTCTGAGGCCATGTGACTATAGAGGAAAGTCCACGCTGGCAAATCACAGGTCACTCGTGCAGTTATCCAACTCCTGAAGATCCCAGAAACACTCCTCGATTTGAATTGTTTTGCAGTGTTTCACACTTTCCTTCATGTTTGTCTTCTTACATTTACCCTTTTTGTTAATTCCAGAAATCTCAAAACTGGATTCATCAATACACACTGCCTTTTTCCCCTCCTAAGAAGAGGTTTCCACACTGCTACTAATTCTTGAAAGGTTTATCACCCAAGTGTCATATAGGCAACCTTAACTTATTTTGTAATTTTAGCTTGAAAATTACAAAACAATTCTCATCTTTCAAGAACTATTTGAATTTTCTCCCTCGCCCAAAATGATTGAGGGGTAAAATAAT